ACATATATGTAATTTGTCATACCATTCCAAAATGACATTACAAATTACACTAGAATGCAACCAGGACACTTCAGGCATCCTAACCACTAAAACTGGCTTTAGGGGTTATGGTACTTTGAGCGTTACTTTAACATTTTATTAAAAAAAGTAAATATATAATAAAGAAGTGTATATACACTGATCAGCCACAACATTAACACCACCTGCCTAATATCGTGTCTGTCCCCCTCATGCTGCCAAAACAGCTCTGATGCATTGAGGCATGGACACCACAAAACCTCTGAACGTGTCTTATGGAGTCTGGTACCAAGACAGCAGCCGATCCTTTAAGGCCTACATGTTACGTGGTGGGGACTCCAGGATTCGATTTCTTGTTGCAGCACATTCACAGACACTTAATCAGATTGAAATCTGGGGAATTTAGAGGCCAAAGCAACACCTTAAACTCTTTGTCACATTCCTCAAACAATTTATGCAGTGTGGCAGGGTGCATTATCCTGCTGAAAGAGGCCACTGCCATGAGGGAACACCATTGTCATGAGGGGGTGTACATGGTCTGCCACAATCTGGTACGTTTCAAAGTAACATCCACATGAATGCCAGGATTCCCAGCAAAACATTGCCCAGAGCACAGCACTGCCTCCACTGGCCTGTCTTTTTTCCATAGTGCTTCCTGCTGCCATCTCTTCCCCTTGTAAATGATGCACATGCACATAGCTATTCACCCGATTGACCATGGATATGAGGAATGCAGCCCCTGTCATCCTGACTCCCTCGCACACCAGCAACCTATCCTCTTCCATCCCAGAGGACACCAGTGCAAGCACTGCAGGGACAACCATCCCCACCCACATTTCTTGGCTGAGAGCAAATAGCTGCAGGCTGTCAGCTGTCTGATGTCAGACTTGAGTAACACGCCACTTTTGCTGGTATTTGTAGTTTGGCGGTGCCTGAATGGTGTGGAGCAGGAGATCATAGCAAGTAACAGGCTTTATAAGGACGTCTTGAAGATGAAAACACCCAAACTTTTGTGAATAAAGGCTTTTACTACATGGCCTGGTGTCTTGTTGGTGGCATGTAGTTGAAGTATGGAAAGTATGAGAAGCGAATATGGTATAAGGCATTCTCCCATCTGTTTGTGGACTTATTTCTGGATCTCAAATATTCTGCACTCCAGGGATTCACATGGCAGATCTTTGTTTTCCCCACCGGCTGTGTCGCCCAGAGGATGTTGCCTTGGTGGCCTTGTGCAAAATCCATCCCAAAATACAGAGCAGCAAGATATTGATAACAAATATTGGAAATGATGTAAAATAAAAAAGGAGGTATACAGGTAGAAAACAATATAAAGGTAACAATTAAGATACATGGTAAGAGAGATTCCAAAGGGAATAATATATTTGGTTCAACAAGCTAGAGAGTTAGAATTCAACCATGGAGCAATTGCATTTAGACAATTGGCATGGGCAAAAATGAGGTATTTTGGAGTAAGAAATTCTCCTTGCCTGAGTACAAGTCCAGTCATAGAAATTGATCTTAATATTACAATTATAATAACTGAAATAGATACATATTACATTCTCTGCCCTGCTATTCCAGGCCCATTTTTACTAGGAGATTATGTCACTGCTGATAACATTTCATATGTTACTAAAAAAGCAATTGTCCAGTAATTTTCTCCATTATTGACATGACTCAGGGATTTAAAAAAATACTTCTTGGCAACCATTTTTTATGAAACCAGGTGCATATTAAGCAAAACTTGTAAAGGAGGCAGACGATTCCAAAAGCAACAAATGTATTTCTATCCAATCATTAAATAAAATTTTCAGCTTTGTTTTATAGGATTTTGTAAGTTGATGACAACTCGGCCTCTCTTTTCACTTAGTTTTTAAAATGAGTTTATCATTCTCTACAACCATTTAGAGCAAACAGCTGATCCTAAACCATGTGATTTGCATGTAGTCCTTGCTTCATTCTGCGAAAATAAAATCATCTTCTGCTTGATGTGAAACTTGGCAAGTTTTTGCATGCTTTAGCATCTCGTATGAATGGTAAAATTCTTTCTTTGTATTCATTAATTAATTTATGAATAACCATATGTTGCATTATAAAATAAAAATTCAGGAACCCCATTAAAAAGTTTTATTCAACTGATATCGAAATACCTTTAAACATCTCTGTAGCTGTCATCCTTACCTGGTAATTCTCTGTTTATGTTATCTAATGGGTAAGCCCTTGGCTGGGTCTATGTTCCATTACCCTATGTGCAACTGTAATTTTCAGTATAGTCCGATAACAGAACTAGCACCACTGTGGCTCACTAGACATCCAGGGTCAAAATAATGCTATCTTAAGGGAACTATGTTTTGTGTACTCATCACCAAAGCTTATTGAATGAAAATGTAACATATTTATCAATAGTAAAATGATTGCACAACCAGCCTGTAACCCCATCAACCGAGGTATGATTCTGAATGGCCAAACTGTGCTTTTCACTGGATGTGGTTTTATAAGGTCAGATGAACCTGTTTCTCTCTGTCTGTCTTTCTCTCTCTCTCTCATTTTTTTAAAGAGATTCAACTGATACCTGTCCTTATTTTGTGTTGATTGTCTATCTTTCTATTGGAGATTTTTTATTTCTGTCCATAGCTCTTCACTTTAGGCTTTCATGTCGCCTGGGTCTGTACCCTTGGGTACCATTTCACTTCTTGTGATATGTAAATGTTACATTTTTATGTTTGCAACTGTGACTATATTTATTAATTTTACTGACTTGTTAAAACAAGTTTAAAGTTAATAATGTTAGTGTTTATTTGATGTATTTAATTAATACATTATTAATAATTTTATTAGTTTTTCACAAGCTATGCAGTTTATTTATGTTATGTCATATTTAGTTGGGTGATTTTTATTTATTGCTTAATTGATGCACATTCTCAACCCAGTTGTGTTCTACTAATATTATGACAATACTTACAGCAAATTACTACCTTTTTTATGGGTGATGATGTCCATATACTGTGAGCTAATTTTAATGTTAAAGTGAAACAACAGGCAGAAATTGAACCCTGATTTTGTTAGTGGATGCAATAGACAATGTAATAAAAATCTGCAAAAAAAAATAATATATAAGCAAAATGAAAAATAATAACCGACACCTCTCATTCTGGTCTTTGCGGTCCGATACAGGCCTCCATTTAAACTTTCTGGATAAGCTTTACAAATGATTTAATATTTTTGTCTAAACTTTTAAAATGATTTAACATGTTGACACATATTGTAATATTTTAATATTTTGATAGTTTGTTTGATATATTATATATTTTTTTTAGATATGATGGGTTTTTTGATACTTAAATATTTTTAATTGTTTTTTTTGAAAAGTTTAAAAGTGTATCCAAAAATATTAAATCAAGTCCATTATCCTTTAAACACTTGTAACAGGAATTTACGTGATACATAGAAAATCATCTTACATTTTTAGACATTTGTTTTTATTGAAGACTAGCAAGGTTTGACGATAAAATACATAAATTGACTTAAATTGAACAATAGAAATGACAGTTATAAGAAGTACTCAACATAATGGACTATTAATTTAATATTTTTCTTAATAGAATGCAACTTATGTTAAGTGTCTTCATTTTTGCATATTATTTATCCTGGAGAGGCAGCCAGGTTATGGTGCTTGGAATTAAAGCTATAATACAGTCTGTAGTAAGATAACGTATTGGCTGGTTAGAAAAGAGGTAACTGGAGAAATGTAGGTTTGAATCATGTTGATATTCCTCACCACCACCTCACCATTTAGTGTCGTTGAACAGGTAACCTACATATATACATACCTCCTCAAATCCTGATAAATTGTAAGCTTGTTTGAGCAGGGGAACTAAAAATCCCTCCCCTGCGGAATATGTTGGTGCTATATAAATGCTAATAGCAATGAAACCTTTAGCAAATGTTAGGTCCATAGAGCACTGATTGACTATTTTATGCTTGAGGTAAATCCTGCTTCCATAACTACTTTAACTGATAGGATCTTTATCATGTGTGCTGCTCCCAGAATACAAGGAATATAAAAAGCTCTCCACTCCAGAAATAGATACGTTGAAGTGCCCTGTTGGCTGGCAGTATGACTCTCGCCATGATTCTAAGCAAGTGAAGAACACATACAGTGACATGTATTTCAAGTGTGATTAGGAGGGCTGCCGTCATAGAGGGGCAAGGCTAGAAGAGAATACAACTGATAGTGGACACCCACAAACATAGAATGGAAGTGCACCCAAAAAAGCATCCTTGGCACCTAAGTGAACCAAATATGGACTGTAGGACAGACTCAAAGGATCACCTTAACCAGCTTGGTAGCTTGGCATCATTTACTGGGGCAAAAGTGGAACAAAGCATTAAGTATAAAATGCATTGAGATTTCCCTGTGTGACACTGTACCATAACAGTGCTCACAGTGTAGTGAGGAAGAGTTAGCAAAATTAGACAAACCAGATTAAGATTTCTCCTTTTCTCACTACTATATTTGCCAAAGACTTCATCCATCCACACATCCAGATCCGCATTAATGTAGAATCTTTTAAATGAAGTACAACATCATTAAAGTAAACTGACTTAACTTGTTAATTTATTGCACTGTCAAAAAAATGAACTTTCGCAGGGGGTTGCACGCACTTACGACAAATATGCGAGGGAGGTAAAATAATACCATTCCCGATATTGCAGTCTAGGTTTTCTATACCGGCCAAACACATTTTTCCCTACCTACAGCTAAAATCCTTTGTGTCCGCCCTCCCAAAATGGGACAACCCTGAAACACAGCCCAAACACCCCCTGGAACAATTGTGCTTAACTGAAAAGACTCCCACAAAAATCATCTCCAAATTATATATGACCCTGACGAACACACATGCCAACTCCCAAACGGACTTCAGAGACAAATGGCAAGCGGACCTGGGGCACGAGTTAGAAGACAGAGATTGGAAACTAGCCTTCAGAGCACACAAAAGTCTCACCATGTGTGCCTCTCACCTAGAAACAATGAGGAAAATCTTATATAGATGGTACATGGTCCCAGACAGACTTGCTACAATATATCCAGGCACCAACCCGAATTGTTGGAGAAACTGTGGGCAACGGGGTACGATGTTCCACATATGGTGGACCTGCCCAGCTCTGACCCCATACTGGAAACAAGTGGAGGAAATTGTCGCTCACACGTTAGGGAACACATACCACTTGACACCTGAACAAGGCTTACTATTCATGAACCTAAATCACTGGCACAACCCAGAAAGGCAACTAATATTCCAAACTTTAATAGCAGCAGTGACTCTGATAGCCAGGTGCTGGAAACAACCACCGACCAAACAAGCACTGATAAGCCAAATCTCCACGAATTGGGAATACGAGCACATGGCTAGTAAATACTTAAGCACGAATCATAGAATTAGGGAAGCGTACACTAAATGGAAGTTATACAGAACACAGCATAGTACCACTTGATACAAAGTGGGACACCGGAAGGGATCCTCATACACACATATAGGTGAAGATCTCAGGCCGAACCAAAGCCACCAAATGAGCACTCCTACATATAGCAACATAGGTGCAGTGATGGTTGACCACCAAGTGCGACCAATCTACATCAGGACAACCACGTCTCCACAAAGCAACTTATATAGGGAACACACCTTACTTGAGTGCAGGTTTACGCAAAAAAGTGAAGCTCAGACATGTTATACTAGTTTACGTTTATAACCCTGTTGGTATATGTTATACCACGACCCACCCACCCCGACACCCCTACCTTCGGTGTTTCCCATTCCATTGGTAGCCACGCGCAACTCGAGCGCCATGCCGAGTTAGCCCCTGGAAACAACAAGTCAGCAGCTAAAAGAACTAGAGGGTACATGGGAAACCCCATAAGTACAAAGAGATACAAGTGGGTGCCCGAATACTACCACTACTCAACTTCTAAACCCCAGGGGTTGTCTCTAATGGTACTTGTTGTCTAATGTGTACATATATTGTTGTCATGCACGACTACTACACGATATTTTCAATCTAATCCTCCAAGTGAGGATGGAGAGCCTGGAGTGCTCACGGTAATGTAACAATGTATGACAACTCCCATTCCCCCCCCCCATCTTACTTTCTGTTTCCCCGCCCCCCCCCTTATTCTTTTCCTTCTGTGAAAATAAAAAATGTCAAATTGAAAAAAAAAAAATGAACTTTCTCTTCATCCTAGTGGTATTTGTCTGTCTCTCATTCACAGATTGTAAGCTCTAGAGGTCTAATACCTCTTCACCCAATGTTACCTACCTCCTGTTATGATTTCTGTACAATTCCCAAACTTACTGTTCTTCCCATGCACTCTAATTGATTAAGACAATCTGTTTGTGTTATATTTATTATCATAATATATTATTTGATTTATGTATAAGAATTTAGATATCCAAAACTGTGAGACCTTGACCTAATCTACCAGTGGTGATACAACATTTTACTATGATGTATTGCTTACATGCTATTTATTAATGAAAAATGAGTTAAAGTCTACACGGTAGAAAATAAACAGCATAGGAAGTGAACCTGAGACTCAACTGTATTGCACATGGATTTTATCTGTGTCAATATAAACACCTTCTAAATGTGTGGAATGATCTGTAAAACAAATTCTTTGAACGCTAGTTTGGGTAATAAGTAAGTGTGCTGTGAAGTATGTAAAACAATTGTTCCTGACAGATATTTGTTTATATCTAAGTGGGTGTGCACATTCTCTAACACACTTCAACACATTGTGGAAACATACTCTCAAGCAGACATAGTTTGGTGGTAAGATGGAATATTTAGTTGAACACTAACGACTAATGCAATTTGCATTGGCCATTAACCAAGAAAGAATGAACAGAGGAAAAAAAGAAACATGGAAAAAACTGTGTTAAACTGTTTGTTGTGAAAAGGATTATAATAGAACTGTTCTATTCAGTTGCAGTATGTGTATATGTTCATGTGTTTAACATAGTTATGCTGACAAGCAGATGTTGCATGGTAGACAGTACATTCTTCACGTACTGCCTAAACACTGCACACCCATACTTCTGTAAAACGACAGTTGGAACCTGTCATGGACACTTTAAAAGTTTGCCTTCAGCGCATTTAATTGTCTTAAACATTGCCATGAAAAATGACGATGGCACTTTAAATATAGTTACCATATGGCTAGTCTGCACACATATACAATTTAATTCCACATTGTCTCTATGCAAAAGGCAGATTTTTCAATGCAGTAGGATGTGCATGCATGCAACTAAATCAATATTTGTCAAAGTATAACTCCAAAATGCTGCACACTCTTTATTCTGTGGTTTCTTGATTCACTACTGGCTCATTCCTGCCTAATTAGGGGACCTATTATACAGAGGTCAAATGTATTGTAAACATCTCTCGAAACACACCCTTATATACCATCACCATATCAGCATTTTATTTATTTTATTTATTTGAAACATGGGATGTAGAGATAGCATGTAATTGAAGGATGGATTTATGCATTTATCTATATGTGTGCATTAGAAATAAAAGCAGACAATGATACACATCTAATACACATAACACGTGTAATCTTTTGTTTTACATAATAACACATGATGGCAATTTCCATTTACCCCTGGCAACCAAATAGCAGATTATCTATTAGCATCTATAAAAATGTGTTGTTCAATCACTGCAGATATGCTTGTTTCTCATAGGAGATTTTAGTCCCAATTTATTCACAGGAATTGGGAGGTAAGTTTTCAGTAAGCAACATTTTAGGTAGCAGTTAAAGGGACATTCAGCTACTGTGACCATTTAATCTCTTTGAAGTAGTTACAATGTCCAGACTGCGTTAATGCTAAACAAGAATCCCCAACAGCCCATCTCTTCTGTGCTATTCAAACGAAGGAAAAAAAATTAGCCTAAGTATCAATGGGCAGCAGTGATTGACTGACAGTGTCCTATCACAGCTGTCCATTGCTGGCGTAAATTTGTATTTTAAGAAATAGTGTAATCTCTATGGGGGTGGGGCTGTCTGTGATCAACTACCCTCATTCAGTGTTAAATTGCTGCAAAAACGGTTTAACACTGAATGGAGACGATTCCATGCAGATACATTTCCAGCATGGGTATTTGAGCCTATAGTGTTTTATAGTTTTCTTCTAAACATCCCATGACTCCCAGTTAAATACATAACTCCATAAATATAGGGTTTTGTTATTATAATTAATATACATGTGCACCAGTGAAATTTTCGTTTCATATGAATGAATTCGTACTAAATAAAAATGTCATTCATCCATTCCAAGTTTCGTCCATAAACCATTCGTTTTCAGATGAAATTCGGTAAAAAAATAGTTTGTTTTCGTCCATTAGGATGAAAATACCACTGCGCATGCACAACAACGAAAAAAAAAAAAAATGCAAGGAGAGATCCGGCAGCGCTACCAATAAATAATATTAATTCCTTCCCCCCCCCATTAAAACCTATAGGGGTCGCTATGACTCCCATATTAATAAAAGGAAGGTTAAATCCTCCTGCATGCCCCTACTCGTGCCATGCTGCTAATAGGGGCATGTTGTCTAAACTGTCATTTAAAACTACTAGTGACTGGGCAGCTATTGTCCCCACTGGCCCCCACCCATTAGCGGTGGGTGGGGGCCCTAAGTATCAATGGGGGGACCTATTGTCTCCCCCTTGGCCCCCACCCATGAGCGGCAGGTGGGGGCCCTAAGTAACAATAGGACGGGGAACCTATTGTCTCCCCCCGGCCTCCACCCATGAGCGGCGGGTGGGGGCTAAATATAAAAAATACCCCCCCACAAGTGACTAGGAGCCCCCAAAGCCCTAGTCATCCCCCTCCCCAATAAAATGTAATCCTATCTACCCCCCTCACCCTAAAAATAGTGAGGGGAAACAAAAAACTAACACCCTGTACAATACAATTTCATAACATTAGATGTCTTCTTTCTTTTTTTCTTTTCTTTTTCTTTGAGCCCCAAAAAAGGCCAAATAAAAATCCATAATTGTCTTGTCTCAACTGTTAAAATAAAATAAAAAACCTGAGTGCAAAAAAAAAATACAGAAAAAAGAAAAACCCAAAGCCCCCCCCCAAAAAAATCCATAACCTATAGTGTTAAAACCACCATCTAGCCCATCTGGGCCCCTCATGCCTCCATAAATATAGTAAAAATCTTACTGTATTCAAGCTTGAAGCTGTAACTCTACATGATGTTAGACTCAGAAAAACAAGCAGTCTGGTGACATCAGCAGAAGTGGTAGCCTGATCCAATCACAATGCTTCCCCATAGGATTGGCTGAGACTGACAAAGAGGCAGATCAGGGGCAGAGCCAGCATGATTCAACACAGCCCTGGCCAATCAGCATCTCCTCATAGAGATGGATTGAATCAATGAATCTCTATGAGGAAAGTTCAGTGTCTGCATGCAGAGGGTAGAGGCACTGAATGTTTGGATGCATTTTAGGCAGCCATGACCCAGGAAGGATCTCTAACAGCTATCTGAGGAGAGGCCAGTGAAGTTATCACTAGGCTGTAATGTAAACACTGCATTTTGTCTGAAAAGACAGTGTTTACAGCAAAAAGCCTGAAGGTAATGATTCTACTCACCAGAACAAATTCAATAAGCTGTAGTTGTACTGGTGACCATAGTGTCCCTTAAAAAAAAATCAAGCACTATTTTATTTTAGATTACAGATTCTACTAAATGTTGTATATTTTTTTTTGGGGGGGGGGGATTCTTTTTTGACATGTCTTTAACAGAGAATAATAAAAAATAAGAAATTGCAATTCCAAATAAACCCTTTAGTAATCCACTGCTTACAATGTTTAAATGATGCCCCTTGGTCTGGGGTAAGCTACACCCTCCATGATGCAAAAGGAGAGAAAGGCTGACTTGGTGCCATGTGATTTGTAGGTTAGCATTACGTGTCATGTGATGTGTAGCTTAGCAATGCAGTTTAGCAAGCATATTTGGCCAGAGGGTTGCAGTTTGGACAGTCCTGCATGGAATCATGGTTTTCTTTAATAGATGGTGCTTCCATATTCTTATAAATGCAGTTAGGGGCTGTGGTTTTTCAATTTGTTTCTGCTTCATTGGTAAAATGCTGTTCATTATTGTAACACATCAGATGTTCAT